GCTTCTATTATTAAAAATGGTTCAATAATTAATTTGGAATAACTTGAGACACTCAAGACACTACACAATTCAAGGTGTGTGAAATTAAATACTTATGATGTCTTTCAAGTGCCTAAAAAAAAGAAATGGAAGATGTCTTTAAATTCAAGTTTCCTCCTTTTCACCTGATTTTCATGGAACATGGTGGACACACAGTAAAAGAGCTACACATATAGGAGGATATGCATGTTCTGTATGTCACTCCACTTGCGTTCATTACAGATCGTCGACCTCAGCAACAACAGTCCCCCTGACAGTATCTAACTGGCTTATGTTGTAGCACAGCGCATTTCTTCCCTGACTTTTCAGGACAGCAACTGAGAAATCACAAAGCTTTTAGATAGTGCTGTCTAGTACCAAAGTACTTAAAGGAGCAACTGTTTAGAGCTTTAGTATGAAACATTTAGCATAAAAATACAACCTCCTCTATTAAGTAATCAACATTTAACAGCATGATTCATACTGTTCAAGACTGCGAATCTGAGTTCTATCTGGACCATCTTCTCTCTTGTTATTGGTCTGCCTTTGCGACTGTTCCTCACTAACATACGATTGCTTGTATAGCTCCCAGAAAAGCCAGTGCGTAACACCACAGGTACAGTTTTCTGTTCATGTGAAAGAGGAATTTCTCTTTTGAATATTGCAGCCCTTTCCATTACATGCTGGGTTTTTTTTTTTCAAATGTTGCTACTAGAGGCAAAACAAACCAAAAGCCCCTCTCAGCAGGTAAGAGATATGCCCAACTAAATCTTTCACTGACTTCCAGCTAGTCATTCCAATGCATCATATTCAAATTGCTTGTAATTTCTGAGTTTAAGCAAGAGATAGTTACTGCTAGGAAGCATTTGTCCCTTTTCTCTTTTTCCTGTGCAGTTTCAATACTCTTTAGGATAACCTCAAACACTTGAATGTTTTTTTGCAGTTTGATAACCTGCTTCTTTTCTTGAGGTGCTCTTCCTTCAAAGCTACGAATCAAGTCATGACACAACCAGTCAGACTTCTTTTTTAATGATCTAAATGCATTTTTACAAAACAAAATTAACTTAGACATCATAAAACATTCTGTAAAAAACTGTCAGACTCTGGTCAGGGCCAGTTGCTTTCCTTTTCTTCTGCTGTATATCACAGTGCCATCCCTTTAAAGTTAATTTCTGCCATTATCACCAGTGATAAGTCTAGTTCATTAGCTCAGATGAAAGCAACAGAACTATTTGAGGATGAAAACATTACTAGCTACAGAATAAGGGTGGCAAAACTAGCACAGCAACAAATAGATGTCACAATGGCATTTTTTCACTACTATATGTCAGATCTCCATAGCAAACTATGAGGGGAGTCTGAAATAGCATCACTTGCCGGCTGAAGTGCTGTGCTTTTCTTGTAACAGAATGCTTCTCGTTTTCAAATAGGACTCGGAGGAACCAAGTACATCTCCTTTGAAGAACGGCAGTGGCATAATGATTGCTTTAACTGTAAGAAGTGCTCTCTCTCATTAGTGGGTCGTGGCTTCCTCACAGAAAGGGATGACATCCTTTGCCCTGAATGTGGGAAGGATATTTAAAGCTCAAAATAAGAGGTGGGGAGAGGGGAGGAAAGCCGTGCTTGCAATATATAGTCTGAAATACATGGATGTTTGGAACTAGCTTTGCCACTCTGTGTTTCACTGTACTATTAACATCACTTAACTTTTTTCTTTAAACTCTCCAAACCTGGAGGGAAAACAATTTCAAAATCTCTAGTAACAGTGTTTAAGATTTCTACAGCTAACCAAAATTAATGCAAAACCAGAGATGTAAAACCATTTGGGTGTTATTAACATAACATACTCGTTGGTTTTTTTTCCTTCCACTAAATATTCCAGTTACAAGCAAGTGATATAGTTCAAGGATTACAATGGGCACGTACAATATATTCATAGACGGATATTCAGGGTGAAACCCTCAGCCCACTGAAATCAATGGCAAACACCATTCAATTTCAATAAGGCTGTGGTCTCACTTCAGTTTTTTTGAGCTATGGGACTAGTGTGTGCTGTCAAGTGTGTAGAAAGACTGCGAACGTAGAGGGTGTTTCAATGTACAAGGATTTGTGCTATGCCATAAAGAGATAATGATAAAACAGTTGAAGTGGGAGTGCTTCATAACAAGTACATATTTTACTGCATGACTAGCTGATCATTGTGTGAAGTACAAGTTCTGATTGATGGTGTCAGTATTACAGTTGGTCAACATTACACTGCACATTGTATTTTTCAAAATAAAATAATTTAAACCAAAATTCTGACTGTGCTTTAATTCTATTTACATATTAGATATTTACAAATAAAATGCTTCCACAGTCTGAAGAAACACAATGTAAGAGCCATACAAACACAACCCTTTTTGCACCCAGTCATTATGAAACTGTGGAGTCTAGACTATCCTCATATGGGCCCTGTTGATACAACAGTCTTCTAACTGAAATCAGTGGGAAAATTATCAGCAAAACTGGAAAACTATATGAAAATACTTAATCAACTACAGCTGATAAAAAATGTCTTCGTAGGCTCTGAAGTCAAAACCAAAATATTATTGTTCTCAGCAAGCAAGAAGGTCAAGACAACTCAAAAGACATTTAATCTTTGCAAAAGTCAGAATTCTAACTTCTATATTAGGGCATGCTTTAATTTTGTTCTGTATTGCAGTACGTAATACCCTTTGGTCTAGCATCATTTCTGCTACATGTTTGCTGCAAAGGCAACTGTCAGCAACAGCATGCTGGCAGGACAATAAAATCAAAAGGAAACAATCCAAAGGAAGACAAGTCTCTTCCCAAACAAGAAAAGCAAACTTCAAGAAATATGGCCGTGTTATGCAATGTACAATCCTGGTACACCTTCCAGATGGAATTAATTTGTATCCAGCAAAAGGAGGAAAGTAATAAACCACACTTTCAACAGGAATCTTCAGATGTGGAAAGAAGAATTATGAATACACTTTGTGTGTAACTGGGTAGGGAAAATGTGCTTCTAGGTACTGCCTCCACTCTTGAATTTGTCTCTTTTTGTACCAAGCGTGAAGCGCTCACAGGTCATTCCTCTCTCATTAATTCAACAAGCTAAACAGATGCATCAGATCAGATTTGGTTTACTGTACACCATTTGAAGAACTTGGCTGGCTGACATTTTTGAAGTGCACACTGTGCTAATCTGATCTCACTGAATGACTAAACTCCATTGTTCAGTAACTCCATTCTATGATGAAGGCTGTAGTAAAGAATAGCCACAAAAATCCCCCTCAAAGAAGGGCAAGCACATCACTTACTCTCTCTTCTGTGGTCTGGCAATCCCCCAGCACACCTTGCCCCCAAGCGCTACAATAGATGGCAAAATGGTCCCAGCTTTGGGGAAAGTTAGGTGAAACATGACAAGGCTGGAAAGCATACCGGCCTGCAAACAAGACTGTTATCATGCAACAGCAGCATCATGCTATTATTCCAGTACAGTTCTGAATATCACTCCTTAACACATAACAACACACTTTCTCCTAGCAACTGAAACCATAACAAAATAGAGCCTAGACTCTAAACCACTGCCAAGAAGCCACCCACAAAACACAGCTCCCACCAGACTGTTACACTAGAGCAAGGACCAGCACTTCATGTGATACTAACTGCTGCTAAAACTCCAAAGTAGCTACTGAGCCTTTTACCCTGTAAGCTTTTTCCCAAGTTCTAATCACTTCAAGTCCATTGAGATACAACTTGTATAAAATTAACAAGCTTAATTACATCACAAAAACAAGACAGCACTACTTTGTTTGGTTTTAATTGAATTTATTTAAACAGGGTAAGACTACTTAAAAGACAACTCTTTACATACAAAATGTATATTACGTTAAAGTTTGCTGTACTCAAGTACAAAAAATGCACAAGTGTTTAGTAAAAAGGAAACAGCACACAACATTTCAAAACACACATTCTTACCATTTTACATCATTCGAGAAGTGCCTGTGATGTGTTAACAGTGAATGGAGAACTGTCAGTAATTAATTAAGCTACAGTTTTTGGTTTCAATATCAACCAATGTTAAAAATGTAAACAAGCTTTCAGATCACTACTGATAGCTTCTTCTAGTGGGTTAACTAAGTAGATTCAGAAGTTGATTCTTTTTTGGTTTTATTAAGTCTGGGAGTGTTATTATTAGTCACCATCCATATCTAAAATGGATCTAAATTGGCTTCACCCTGAGCCACTGAGATTTAATAAAAATGTTTCCATCAACTTAACTAGATTTCTGCCTTATAAGGCACTATCAATAATCCAGATGAAACACATTTCACAGAAACCCAACATCAGTCTTAAATTATCAAAGGAAGAGGAAATAGATTGGTTTGGTTTTTTAGAGTGCAACTACACGTGCTAGTGCTCTCAAGGTACGTCTTTGTCTTCCTGTCCCTGTCCCTCTTCACCTATTAGTAAGCTGAGAAAGCACTGGCCTGCATTCCAGACGTTTTCCCCATATTTTATAAGCAAGATTGTAACCAGGAAAAAAAGTGAATTTGCTACTTTGGTACATTTTTACACTTATGCGTGTATAAAGTATGCCTGTGTATTTAAGAGAACATGGCACCAATCCATTCACTACTTCCTCTCAAAGATTCATATCAAACAGTTTAATAACATACCTCCATCTGTGCATTTCTTATTTCATACGTCAATAAGAGAAACTTCAATTTGAAGTAAGGTTGTTAAAATAGTTCATCTCTTATTACCAACATAACTTACGCTGTAAATTCTACACTCCTGTTCTGTGCAACAAAAAGGGAAAAAAATTGTCTCACACTATCTTATCAGCAGAATGGTCAGCTTTCTCTTTTTAAAGCCAAGAACTCTTGAGACCATTATGAATCTCAATAGCTATTTTAACTATTTAACCAGAAGTGGAAAAATCCTAAATCTTACTGAAACAAACAAAAAAAAATTATGTGTGTGAATGATAGTGACATGCAGGAGATGAACTGTAATAATCTTGAAAACTAAAGTGAGGAGTTTAGTATATCGTAATATTGCCACCTTTTCAAGAACTAATAAACTACTTGGTATACAAGAGTAGACACTCTTAAGGTGACTGGTGATAATGACTCCAGCTTTACAACAGTGAACCTTTAAACTTGTTAAAACTCCACAGCAATCTGAATCCCTGTAAGGTTTAAAAAGAATTGTACTTAAACTGTTTAAATATATGACTTATCTGTTTGAAAATATGGAAGTAATATTTATGTTTCAAGCACCATTAGCTACTTCATGGCCACGTAACATGCTGGATTTTCTTCTTTGCTTCTGTAGGCTTTAGGTCATTCTAGAATACAAGAAAATACATATTCTTAGACATACTGTGCAAGCAGAAGTTAGTAATTAACCTGCAACGCTCAAATCCAGTACTGACTATTGCTGTACTCAGCTATGATAGTACAACGGCTTTCTATTGCCATCTTGTGGAGAAAGTTAAGTATCACAGAACTTCTCTAGAGAAGATAAAAATAAAGCAAATTAATTTAACTACCTGCGAATCACAGGTCTTTTGGTTTCTCTTAATCCTACAATTAGTTATGCAAAAATATCTTTCAATTATGCAGCTTAAAAACAGGTGCATATTGGAGTTTCAAAACATAATTCTAAAGTTACTTCAGTTTGCCTTCTTAAAATACAGGTTGAAATAGGATTCTATAAGAAAAAAAACAAGCATACAATTCAGAAGCCAATTTGCTTTTGTCAAACAGTGAAAACAGTAAAAAAAGAGAAGGCAAAGTTGGTCTTCCTCTGTAACGACCTGAATAAAAAAAGTGAAATAATTGCCAAAGCCTCATCTTTCAAGTCCCACTCCGTGAAAGCAGAAAACAATCAAGCAAGACCAAAGTAAAACAATGGGAGATGGAAGCGGTGAAATAATTACCTTTCACCATCAAAAATAAAAAAAATATGAGAAATTAGACCTTTAATAGTTCATACACGCAGAGTAAAGACGGGTATATGAGTTTTCAAGAACATTCTGCACCACACTGCTTTGGGAAGCACAATCTAGAAATCTCTCTTCTCCTTAAGAGTTTCATTGTTAGTTTATTCACAGCAATTCTGTGGATTGCAACCACTGAAAGGTTTAAGGGAATTAGACCCAAAGATTAGAGGGATAGTTTTGTGCTATTCAGCATGAGAACTTCAGTTTTTCTTGAAAGTCGAAGAACAGACACTTGCTTGAAAAGGCAATGGTCATTACTGTCATTATACTAAAAATATATCAGGCTTTATGCTCTACAGCCATCTGCCAAGTATACTGATTCTTCCTGGCTGCATCACTTATTATTCAATACCATGTTCTTTAATTTCAGACAGTAAAGTAACATCCACACAACACACTTGTCAAACTTCGAACGTGTCTGACCAACATTAACCAAGGCATGACTGAACTTACCAGTATTAACCTGAACAACATAAACTGTAGCTAAGGCAGAAAGTCAAGTGTCAGAGGTCATAGCTTCCGAGTGTCAGCTATACAGTGTCACTTAAAAGTGTTCATCATTGTGTCTATAAAACATTTCAATTAAATATAAAGAAGATGTGAGGTGTATACGAAAGAAATTTCAAAAGCTCTGTAGGTTTAGATCTGACCAATACTTGGAAGAGTTCTAAATCCTAAAATAAGTTAGTAATACCGGTAGTAGGAAACACACCTCTCCAACATAAATTTGATTCAGGGCCTCAGCCACGATTCTTGTAAAAGTTGGTAAAGCTGTCCAGAACAGTCATGTTTAAGTGCTCATGTTTAACAGAAGTCTGATGGAACCTACCAATCCACGCAACAAGGATATTACCTAAAAATTTTTAAAAAGAGATTAATAGAAAGCATTTCATGAGGCAATATTGAGAAAAGAGAATTTAGGTCTCGTGCCCTGGGAAGAATTTAACCAATGTAATTGCACAGTGCATATCTAAAGCTCCCCCTGCAGTTCAACTGAGAACAGATATTTCTATTTCTTCCTCCGAGGCCCAGACATCCCAGAAATGTGAAAATTCCTTCATTTGTATAATGAAGGAATACAACACAAATATAAGACTTATCCCTGCCTCGCTGCATGTTTTAAAGAGGAGATGGCCCATTGCTCTTTGCTCACTGACAAACCCTTGAAGACTAATCACACCTTTGTCAAAATAACCACTGTCCTATCTTTCTCCCCAACTGGAAGCTACATTCATCACTGTTACCAACACTTCCAAAGGTATGCCCTGTTGAATTTATATATACTGCCTTAGCTCTTCTCTCATCACTTGCACTCATCAGCCTCATTCTGCCCCCATCTGTAGTGTAGTTCTCTTCTCCAAAGAAAATTTGTTTGCAGCTGAATCTAACTTGCAAAAAGAAGATAACTATTTACATTTATGGTTAACAGCTCAGTTGTCTTCTACTTGTAACAGCACCCTTCTGTTCAAGATCTCAGTATGTCTTTCTCATCGTCTTATAGAAGCCCAGATACCTGATTAAGATCGCCATGGCTCAAAATTAGCGCTTGACCTTTGGCCTCTCACTTCAACTAGTACAGTTTGTTGTTAGAGCTTCTCATTCAGACCCACAATCTCGGCAGCCCTCCACATTTTCACATCCAGTTCCTTCCTCTAGCTTGCCAATTCGTATGTGAGATTTAAAACAGATGGTGTTCTTCCTCTAAGCATATATTCTACAGCTCTCAGCATTTCACATCAGTTCCCATAACATCTCCTCCTTCACTTTGACAAATGAAAGCTTGTCCTACTCAACCAACTCAAGTGTGATTGTTACAAATGTTATAATTCCATTTTTTTTCTTTCCTACTACAGAAAACAGACCACTTGTCCTACGTTTAAGGCTGTTCATGTTCTTCTATAATACCTGTTCTCTCTCTCAGACCTACTGAGAGGATTATTTTGTTTGTGTTTCATTTGACTGCTACCAGCACAACCCTAAGTATTACCTATTTATTCATTTTAAAATCACATGCATGTTTTCTATAAAGCTGCCTCTCTCAAACAGAGGTTTCCCATGGACAAGTACAAAGTACTTGATTTCTGTCCTTCTCATCTTTCCCAGACTAGCTCCTCTTTTGCCTGTTTCTAAATAAAGACTCTACTATTACTCCAAAATAAAATAATTCTGGAAACTCTTACAATGGTCTACCTTTGGCTCCTGCAAGTTTCAATTACAAAAAGGCTGCAAAACAAGATACTGAACGTACATACCGGCAAATCAGATTCTTCTTTTGGAACAGCTCTCTTTAACTTCACAACAGTAGTTCCTGCTACTGGAGACAAAGGGTACACCTTCAGACTAGCCAACACACTGCTGTTAGTCTTTGAAATATTGTTCTGCTTAGCCTCATTATTCTTCATTCCCAGCTTAGTGTCCTTTGATAAACTGCATGCTGAAATGTATGTTGAGGCATTTGAAGGAACTGATAATCTTCTAACAGTGTTGGCGGTGCTTCCAGTTGGAGGAGGTTTTAGGTGATCAGCAGCTCCATTCTCCGTCTTCTTCACCTTTATGCTTGTACTTGTTGAATTGCCATCAAATACAATTAACGGCCGTTTCCTTAAACCTTCCACTGTTGTAACACTGAAAATACAAATTGTAAAATTCTCAGAAACACAAGCTAGATGGTCCAAAACTAGCATATCCAAGACATGAGCAGTGAGAATGAATTTAATCTTGCCTAAAGTAATCCATCCGAGCAATCTGGGTTTCCACTGTTTCACACGACTACTCATATAGGTAGGACAGACTCTGAGCAACTCCCAGTTATGAGGACCATTTAATGAAAAATGCTCCTATTCTTGTCTAGTTTAGCCTCATACTTAAGGTAGCACCCTAAAGCGAGAGAGAAGTGTAGGTTTTAGCTCCCACACCCCAATTATCCTAAATATTCACCTGTTACCAAAACAGGCAGGAGATCACCTCTCTGTGAATGTCTGAAACTGGTCAGAAGTACCATGTTTTATGCTGAACTCAATATTATTGGTGCATTAGCAGTTCTCAGAGGATGCCGAAGCGGCCTCTCAGGTGACTAAGAAATTATGAGCTCTGACAAGGCTACAGCTCTGAGTATGCACAGCCACAGTGCTCCTGAAGACTCCGAGTTTGCAGGTGAGAATCTTCAGACTCGATGGCACTTCAGAAACTACCTACACATTTTGAGATTCATGCCACCCTCTTTCTTTCAGCAGGCAAGATGATGTATAGATCCACAAAATTAACTGCCCCCAAACACAAATAGTTACTGAAACGTTTGAAGTTGGATCGATTGCATTTGTTTTTACTTGGTACGACTGTCTGCATGCTCAAATATTCAGTAATACGATGTACAAACCATCACCCGTGACCTCAGATATTTGATTTTATTATTGAGGTATAACACACTACTGCAGCTCAGCTGATATACAGCAAATCTTTTAGGACATGCCATCAAGCACCAGCAGTAAAACTAAACACAATATTCAGCACTGACTGTTATATTTCAATGTGTTTTTACCTCCTATCTTTAACTACTAGAGGCATGCAAACACACACTGAGCTTTGCTGATCAAGTCTCCAAGCCTCATTAATTCCAGTGCACGTTGTAAAGCTGTGCTTTCCACTGAGGAACTCATCAGAAAGCTCCTGTTGTTCATACAATCAATCAGTTTATCTGACTCCTAAACCAAACTAACAGCGGGCTTAGTTCCCATCTCTGACTGGCACATAACTTACAGCCTCACAATACCTAGGAATTTTGTTTGGTGTTTAAAAACAAGAATGCCAAGTTCTACTTCCTCCTCCACACCATGGCATCCTGCCAGTTCTGATAAGTGGTGCACACAACTAAAAGGAAAAATGTAATATTTTAACATCCAAAAAGACGACTGAACTTCTTTGATTCTTTCCACGAATATACTGAAACTTAAGTTTCCTCTGTGCAACTTTTACTTAAAGTGCAGAAAGTCTATTTCTCCCATTTCTCTGAGGTTAGTACTACTAGCAGTAAAATATTTCAGTTTTCTAGACAGTATTTTGCCAGCATGTTTGTTAAGTATGAAAGATGTAATACAAGCAAGAACAGTAACTGCTGGAAAATCTTAAAACTGTCTAACAGCTGAGCAAAAGACTAAGCCCAGTATGCTAGATGTTAAGTGCTAAGAGCAACTGGTAGAGAAAAGTAGACTGGTAGGTTAAACGTATCTCCTGTAACTCCCTATTTTCACAGCAAATTCTACATAGGTTTAACTATTACTGAATTTTACTGTACCAAAATAAGAGCTCCTAAACTTACTCTACACATAAATTCTGGATGAAGCCATTCTCCCATCTAAAAATTAACACTGTCTCCTTCTCTCAAAAACATCCAGACTATCTTTTATTTCTTTCATAAATTCTTTTGCACCTATTTCAGCACTACAACGGTTTCTTATTATTCAGATGCTAACCTCATGCTTTCATCTGCAAGTTACATGTTGTAAAGTTGTAAACAGACCGAGGTACTATAACCTTTTATGCACATGGTAAAAAAAAAAACAAAACTGATGTAACAATATAACTCAGCATCCTTGCCACTGCTAAATTTTTTTTTAAATATTAAAATCTAATAAAAAAATAAAAAAAATCAATTGACAGAATTTGTTTAGCTCTTCCCAGTTAGAAACCTCAGTGAAGCTAAAACAGACTCATGAAATCAACAAGCTGTAATACTGCAAGACTATAATGAGAATTTCCATCCACCATTCCTTTAGCATTTACTGCTGAAGCTAAATCAGAACACTGCCCACACATGACACAGGTCGAAGTCAAAGCCTTGGGCAGGGGGAAGGTCAGGAGGAGAACAGACTCAGTAAAATAAACTTCTGAGAAAGATTTTGCTTTCTGACCAAATACAAACAGAAAGGATTTTAAAAAAAGGCAGAATGTTTTTTTCAGAAAGTAGATATTAGTTTTGAATCGGACAGACAAAACTCCTGCAGCATACACCCCTGACTCTAGAGCAGACTGACCCTGTCCAGGGAGCAAGCATAATTAAACATGCTTTTGGTATGTTTCTTAAACATTGTAAATATTATTGTTATTTAATAATCATATGGTGAAACAAAAAATAATTACTTTTCCTTTGTTATAAAGTATCTTGAAATGTTCTAAAAACCCAGTATCAATACAGGTTGGGGGATGAAGAGATTGAGAGCAGCCCTGAGGAGAAGGACTTGGGGGTGTCAGTAGATGAGAAGCTCAACATGCACTTGCAGCCCAGAAAGCCAACTGTGTCCTGGGCTGCACCAAAAGAAGCGTGGACAGCAGGTCGAGGGAGGTGATCCTTCCCCTCTGCTCCACTCTCATGAAACCCCACCTGGAGTACTGTGTTCAGCTCTAAAGCCCTCAGCACAGGAAGGACATGGACCTGTTGGAGCAGGTCCAGAGGAGAGCCAAAAAAATTATCAGAGGGCTGGAGCACCTCCCATATGAGTACAGGTTCAGAGAGTTGGGGTTGTTCAGCCTGGAGAGAAGGCTCTGGAAGACCTTATAGCAGCCTTCCAGTACTTAAAGGGGTCTACAGGAAAGATGGGGACAGACTTTTAGTAGGGCCTGCAGCAACAGGACAAGGGGTAATGGTTTTAAACTAAAAGAGGGTAGATTCAGGCTAGATATAAGGAAGAAACTCTTTTACCATGAGCGGTGAAACACTAGAACAGGTTGCCCAGAGAGGCTGTAGATGCCCCATCCCTGGAAACATTCAAGATCAGGTTGGATGGGGCTTGGAGCAACCTGATCTAGTTGAAGATGTCCCTGCTCATTGCAGGGGGGTTGGACTAGGTGAACTTTAAAGGTCCCTTCCAACCCAAGCTGTTCTATCATTCTATGAAAAGAAGCATTATAAGCTAGATACCATTAATAACATTTGGATGAGAAAAAAAAAATATTATCCTCCCCTTTTTCCTATTATTGCAGTAGTAGAACAACACCTCTGACACAGGAGATCTGACATGGCATTCTCTGTAAACTCTAACAATGTCCAAAAGCTGTACAAATGCCATTAATCAATAAAACTAAATGTGTCCTACATTCTCCAAGTCTAGCCCAGTAAGAGCTAAATTACCTTTTATTCTCACTTTTCAACTCATTTTGCTGCCTTTTCTGTTCCATGATTTTCCCCCATCTACTTTTTGGTAAATCACGTTGAGGCAGGGGAATGGCATGTTGAATATAGAGATCAGTGAGACCATCTTTGTCCATCTTTACATCATTTTCAACTAGTATATTCTTCTGTGGGGAACAGAAAAAAAAATTGTTATTATTATGACAAATTCAAAGCACAAGCATTTTAGTGGCATAATTTATTTTTTCAAAAGCCACTTTAAGGTAGTACATTGGGCACAAATGCCAGGGTTTCAAAAGTGAGGGGCTCACAGGGGTAACCAATGTGGAGAGGCCACGAACTGCCCTGTGACAATGACAGCCTGGTCTCCTGCCTTCCTACTACCAACTTCCCTTGCTTTCTGTGTGGATTGCACTTGATCCCTCCCTTCAATAAGGCAATGGGAAATGCGGGATGTTGGGTCAGTGAATAGTGGTTTATTTTTCCACTACCTGCAAGTGCATTTCTTCACATATCTCCTCATGTGCCTCTTCCTGGGTGTCCTTTTGTGTCCCCCATCCCTAGTGGCTGCCGCTCTTTTCTTAGTGCATTTGAGCACAGGCGCCATGAGCTCCTCTGCCTGAAATTTTGATGCGTGATGGGTAATTTCATCAGCGTCAGAGACAGCTGCATGCAGCTGCAACCAGTACTGGGCAGTTCATCACCTTTGTCCAAACAGGTTAACCCTGCAGCCCCTCCCTATGGAAACCCCTGCAATTTTTTCCAATAAAAATATTAGCAAAAAAAAAAAAGGAAAAAGTTATGACAGACATACTGTTAATAACTCATGTTTTCATGTACTCTTAAACACACTTCCCTGAACCCAACTAGAATACCAGAGCTCTTCTTTGCCCTTCTATACACCAGGCAACTAGAACATAATGCACTTCACGCTTACAGATGGAGAGCCATGCTTCCTTCCCCAGTTCCCAAAGAATAAGCTGTGAAGGGAGATTTCTGGTAACTGTCAGTTATAACAGAACACCAGTTTTCTTTCTAATTGTGTACAGAATTGTGAAAACAAAATTTCTTGGTACCTCCTGACAAGTTTATTAAAAGAGAAAAAAACCCACTAACTTCCTACAAACTAGAGGCCACTGAAAGCAGATCAAGTCTCTGCCACTACTGGTTTTGGCAATGCTTCATAACTTCTGTTGCGGGCCTGAAACTTGTACATTTTTGCCCACACAAACTACATCAACGAGAGCATACAAAATTCAGCGAGCTCAGACAAAAACCTAAAGCTTTGATTACCATTGTTTCATGCATCTAAAATTTTCAGGCAAGGCAGTAGCAAGCATTCCAAATCACATCAACTAAAATTTCACATGGTCCAAAACTGTTTATAACTCACTTTCAAACTCAGATTTTTTTTCAGTTATGCATACTTAAACATTAGCTTGACTGACTATGTCAGTCAAGTCTTCCTTAATTCACTGGGTATGAACGTGGCAACTTTAACATAGTAAAGATGACCTTTCCACAGACAATCTTACTGTACACAAACACTGTCTCACAGACACGTGGATAAGAGTAAATTATTCTTTAGCAGCTACAGCGTTCAGACGCTGCCCCTCTGCAAACACGGAGGCATCTCTCACACTACAGGGCTCCGCTAAGCAAGTTTCCAGCCTATAGAGTATCGGCTTGGGTTTGGTTTGTTTTTTCTTCCCTGATCGCTTCGTGCACACCCGTTTAGGGCAGCACCAAGGCTGGAGAAAACCTCCAGCGCAGGTAATGGGGGGAAGCGTCTCCCTGCAGAGCAAAGCGAAGAAACAAACGCGGCGCGTCTAACGCGGAGGGAGCACAGCACAACAGGCAGGGCCGCAGTCCCCAGAGGCCTCCCTTCCCACCGGCC